GAGACGGGAGGGAGAAGAGTCAGGTCCCGGGCTCAGCAACCCCTCTCCCTCACCTAGCGCCTGGCTGCTGCTGCAGGCATCCCGCGGGGAGGGGACAGCCAGGCAACCACACAGCCCCCGTCCTTGCAGACAGGAACCCGCTGGTTTCCAGATCTCTAAGTGCTCTGAGGTTCTGAGGCTACCAGCCCTGGGTGGACACAGACATCACCACCTGCGCTTCCTTACCATCCACTGGCCGGCATCTTCATCAGCTCCGAAACGCCGAAGGAAAGTGACCCCATGAAGTCGTTCCTTGTCGTCCGGTCCCAGTCCCAGATTTCTATGGACAGCCGCCGGTCTTTATCTGAAGGTTTCAATTTGCTACAAACGAACAGACACACACACACACACACACACACATGATTATCTTGATTGTGGTTTCCTGGGAGATACCCCATGCTTATGATCTGAGCTTGAGATTAATGCAAGTATTAATCTCAACATTCAATTCTCTTCCTGTGACTCCCCACTGCCAACAAAGAACCAGCCTTCTGGCAAAACCAATGCTCTAGACTAGGGGTTAGCACAGGACAAATCCGGCCCATGGCTTGTTTTTGTAAATAAAGTTTTATTGGAATACAACCATAACCGTTTGTTTACATATGGTCTATGGCTGCTTTGACTCTAGAACAGCAAAACTATGTACCTGTAACAGAGACTGTATGCCTGTAAAGTCTAAATTATTTACCATCTAGCCCTTCACAAAGCACAGCTTGCCGGCCTCTATTCTATACGATTGAGAGCTATCTTCATGGCTGACCCCATCCCTGACTTATTTATACCCCCTTTCCTCTACCTTCTCTATCTCTGACCCACTTTAAATGCTACCTCCTCCAAGAAGTCTTCCCTGCTTAGAGGTCAGGATGACCTTCCCATTTCGGTGTCGTTGATGTTACTCATTTATTCCATGCTTTAAAAGTTATTATTCAAATTCTTACATCATCCCTTGACCCTTACAAGATCCTTATGCTTTTATATTATCTGTAATGTAAAATAATTTTTGTACAAAGTAGACATGGGTGATAATTCAGGGCCGGCATCATGAAACTCTTGGTAAACCAAGTTACTGACCATCAGACATGAGTGACTTGGTGGAGAAAATAGCTTTACATGAATTTGAGAGATGATGAGGAAGGAAAGCAGCAGCCTGTGAAGCCTTCAGATTGAAGCCATGTTGAGTGACATCTATAACAAGCCCCCCTACAGGATCTCCAGCCACAAGGCGAGTGGGTTTGTGGTGAGCAGGGAGGGCACTCGGTCAAGGAGAAAAGACAAAACTTACAACGTGAAGGACTCGTTCCACTGGGGGTTTAGTGTGGAGCGGATGGTTTTGGTTTTTTGTTTGCTTTCATTCTTGGGATCAGGAATGAGCTTGAGCTTCACGTACGGGTCTGAAAGTCCATTTGGATCCATGGGGATTAGATTTTTCGCATCTTGTACTGTGAAGGGAGAAGGAAGAAAGATGAAATGAGAGAGAGAGAGAGAGAGAGAGAGAGAGAGAGAGAGAGAGAGAGAGAGAGAGAGAGAGAGAGAGAAACGCGCACTGGAACACGGGAGACAAAATTCTTACAGTACTTTCACAATGAGCTTCCTTGTAATCTTCTACTACGTAGCCTGATATAATTATACCCCAAAGCAACAAAGTAATAAATCTTTGGGGAGCTAATCGAATGTATCTTGGGCTCTCCTATATAATGGTCATATTCCTCTCTCATTGTGAAGATAATTAGATGACCATTTCCTTGAATAGTTCCCAAATACCTCCTAAAAATAAGTTCCAATGTAGTGTAGATTTCAAAGGTTTTGGCACTCTTATTTTATTGATTTTAGAGAGAGAGGACGGGAGAGGGGGAGAGAGAGAGAGAGAGAGAGAGAGAGAGAGAGAGAGAGAAACCGACCCCCACCCAGCAGAGAGTGGACAGGACAGCTCTTGCTTGGTAGCTTGGTGGCCCTGCTTTCCAATGCTGCCTCCTTCACCAGGGAACCCCGCTCGGAAACTCACCCTCACCAGCCCCTCTCCTCAGCTAGGGAAACGGACGGGGCATGTTCCCAGTGGCTTAGCGTTGTTGGGAGAATTAAATGAAATGAGGTGCTATGTGCTTCACACAGTTGGTGGTTTGGGAAACGAAGGAGGGAAAAGAGATTCACGCTGTGAGTGCCCACTCTGCCCAGGCAACGAGGTGGGTGGTCTCCAGGGGACCTGGCTGCCTCCGGCTGCCTGAGAACCGCACCCCCCTGCCCCCTGTCAACCCCCCAGAACTCTGGCAGACAGCTTCTAATGCAATGCAGGAGCACCAGCCTCCTGAAACAGCAGCCCAAGGATCACAGAAGGTTAAACACTGGAGCATAAAAGAAAGCTCCTGGACAAGGCCTGGGGATGAGCCATAGGTCCCTCCCTGCAATAAGCCCTGGGATGAATCAGAGCTTTTAAAAAGCAGGAAAAGCCCGCATGCCGAGCGAGCGCTGAGCTGCATTCCAGACGGTCTCATAGGAACCGTCGAGGCTGCCGACAGCTCTTCTCCGCCCGGAAGGACTGTGGGTGCGGCTCTGCCATCAGCCAGCGCCGCGACACAGTCACTTCAGGCCCATTTTTCCTGAATGGCGATGAGTTAAAATACCAACAGCACTGAAAGCTGTGGGCTTCCTATGGAGACGTTATCCTTCAAGCTGAACGGTTAAAGAGGTTATCAGTTCCCAATGTCACTGAAGGAGATGTGGGTCCAAATCCCCATTTCCGATTGAAGGGAGAACAGCGTGCCGAACCCTGAATCAGGACGGTCAGCGACCGACCTGGGGTCCCACCTGCTCAGGACGTGGGGCCAGGCAGGCGGCCTGCGCTTGGGTTCTGGCTCTGCACTCCCGGGCCTATCACTCTGGGCGAGACGTTAGCCTCCCTGCACCTCCAGGGTCTTCCCCGGAAAACTGTCCCTCACTGATTATGCCCGTTCCACACACAAAGCGCTCGGGACAGTGACAGGCGCACAGCGAGAGTCTAATGACAATGACGACTACGATCAATGATGATGACAACCATCAGGTGTGAGTCCACGTTCCTGGCACAGAACACAGCCGGAGGGGCTCCTGGGACAGGCGGCGCATGCACTGGCAAGCAAACCCGTGAAGAGCAGCGTGATGTGGAAATTTCCTAATGTGGTTGCGGCTGTACGGTGCCAGCACTGTGTTCAACCACGCAGCAGCGTCGGCGGGCATCCCCGACAGGAGCAGGCGTGGGGAAGCTGGAAGAGGGGAGCTCAGAGGGGGCGGGTGGACAACACAAGCATGGAAGTGGATGATCAAAAGGGCTAGAGGCAGGGGAGAGAAAGAAGGGCAATGCAATGGCCATGCAGTCAGAGGGGGTACGGACGCTGCCGTGCCCTCCCCAACAGGTGCCGGCACTGGGTCTCCACCTCCACTGCGCGCCGGAAACAGCTGGGATGCTGGAGCGAATAGTGATGCCCCCCCCTCCCCCCGCCGAGAGTCTGATTTAATTGGTCTGAGGCCCAGGCATGAGCATCTGGTTGGCTTCCCAACTGAGTATCTCTAAGCGTGGTCCCTGGACTGGCATCACTGGCACCATTTGAGGACTCAGACCCTTATTCATGGTAAAAAAAAATCTACTCCCTTTTTAACATTCAAGAGTTAATGCATCACTCAAAACTGACCGCTGTGGTACATGGGAAACCGGGATTGTCTGCCATCCATCCAAAGTTACCAGGAAAATAAATACGATGAGAACACAACAGCGTTCCTTATTTCCGGCGGGGACAGCTGCCCGAGACCTGCTCTTGGTTACAAAGGGGGAACATAACGAGGCTTCGAGTGTTAAGAAGATTCCAGCCCCAGAGAGAGTCTTTTTCTAGATTGAAAGATGATTGAAAAAGGAATAACTTTCTCACCATGTCATTTAATGCTTTTTAATGTCAGTTCAGTACCTTCAGAAACGGTCTCAAGGACAACCTACAGTCATAGCCCATTGGTGGCCCTGCCCCAATGGGGGAGTAGTTGGGGTGAGGCAGGGGGCTGCTAATTCTGAGGCAGTAAGGGTGTGGGGTGTTTCAGTCTATGAGCACCAGGGGGGCCAAGAATGGACACAGCACCTCATTTCTTGGCTTTTATTTTCCATAAGAACCAAACTGCTTTGACCCACAGAATTAAGATAGAAAAAAAAATCATAAACGATTGCGAATAAGACATTTTTTGGTAAAGCTCTATTCTGAAGGTAGATGGTCTCTAAATGCAGCCGTAGAGAAGTGACGCAGGCCCCTTGCTCATTTAGCTGCCGCAGCCCTAACTGTGCTCCCGAAGGGGCTGGGCCCCACAGGAAAGGCAGGCAGGCAGGCGGGAGCATGCTCCCACCTTGTCCCTCTCATCAGCATTTCAGCAGCCTCCGTGAGGACACATCTGTGCTGGAGGAATCCGTCTGGGCGGTGGAATTCGCAGTTTTAGAATGAAAGTCGGTTCTTGATTCCAGAACTTAAATAGGAATACAGAGCATGAACCATCTTACCGTCTTTTGGGCAGAGTTGCCTGTTTTGAGATGATCAGCCGTCAAGCCTAGAAAAGCCATCCTAGATTGAAAGGTTATTTAACGTCCTGATAATGTAAGGTATCATTCCTGGCCTAAATCCATTCAAATATCATGACGATTGGGAAACACCCTGAGGTGCCACTCAGATCCTTGATAGAGGGGCGAGGCCAGCCCAGAGCACAACATCACAGCTTTATGACAGTTTGCCGGCACCCATAGGCCCCGGCTGGAGGACCTTTGCTGTTTGCCCTGACAGCCCGGCCCTCCAAGGGCTGACAGCAAAGGGACAGCAGCTTCCTCCAGGCGACTCCTCCTGTGGCCGGGGAGGCGAGGAGGTCTGGGCGCTGGGGGAGGTCCTGGCAGCTGGACGGAGACCTGGCTGGGAGCTGCCCTTGGGTGGGAGGTGTGAGTAAGGTGCTCTGTCCAGGGCAACGGGGTGGGTACATGTTAGTGGCGCCCACTAGTGGCCAAACTCAGTCTGGGAAAACTAAGGCTGCATGTTGCTCGGCGAGGTCAGCGCTGGTCAGGATTCAATAAAACTGTCCGTAGGGAGAAACAAAAGCCGCCTTCTTCTCTCACAAACAAGTGAGAACGGAGAGATTTTCAGTCCCAGTTCGAGCGACACAGTGTGTCTGAGGCTCCCAAATACGGACAAGAGGCCAATCGCCCGTGTTCTCTGTGATTTTCGTTAACAATCGTATCTGCATTTTAGGGACGCTCCCTCCTCTGGTCCACAGTCACCTGGTACGTGGTGGCACGACTTGGGAGCTGGTGTCGGCTCTGACGGGTGGGTCGCTAGATACGTTAAATATTTAACTGCACCCAACCTCTCACATTTACTATTTATAGAACCCCAGAGACCCCACCACACCCGTGAGGCCAGGTTCTTGGTTGGTAATTATTTTGAACCCACACTGCCTAGCACAGCACCTAGGCAGGCGCTGGCTGCAAAATTCACCATCTCCAGACCACCCTAGTCCTGTGCCTTTGAGGTCATGCTGCCATTCCCGGGCACCTGGAGCACAGCTGTCCATCTGTCTCAGGGCTGCTGGCCCTTATAAGACCCGTCTCCTCTGACCTTCCATCTACTGCCGGCCCAGCCCAGCCCAGTGTCACCTCTACAGATTGACAGCCACTTGGCAGTGGGGGCTGCGTCTCACCCCACACCTGGGTGTGGCCTGTCCCTCTCCTACCCCAGCCGCCCTCCCACCCCGGCTCCAGGGTCAGCACAGGGTGAGGCAGAACCTCTGAATGCCCCGTGGATTCCTGTTTGGCTGAAAAGCAAGAGCAGACAGGAAAGCTTGCACACGGTTCATCTTTTGGTTGCAGTACCTAAAGCTTCCATGTGGAGGGACTGTCGGACAAGGAGAAACCTCACAGCCTGTGCTGGGAGGATCAAGGCAGGCCAGAGGGAGTCGGGCGCTCTTTAGACAACAGTCTGTGCTCTGGAGAAATGATCGCCGAGCCCACAAAGACTAAAGGACAGAGAACACGGCTCCAGCTTTCAGGAAAAACGTATCAGAAAGGGCAGTTTTCTCCTGGGGAAAAAAATCGCTGTGTAGAAATTCTCAGAATTTCAAGAATGAAATGCAAAGACGTCATCAACCATGAATGATTTTTGATGGGGTCACCACAGCCTGTGATTCTGTGAACAAACTGGGGCCTTGGTGCTGTTCAGTTGTGTGTGTGTTTTAATATGTAAAAAATATTTTTATTGACTTCAGAAAGGGAGGAAGAGGGAGAGAGAGAGAGAGAAATATCAGTGATGAGAGAGAATCACTGATTGGCTGCACATGCACCCAACCTCCATTGAAGATGGAGTGGGCAACGTGGGCATGTGCCCTGACTGGAATCAAACCATGACCTCCTGGTTCATAGGTCGATGCTCAACCACTGAGCCACACCAGCCAG